ACTGCCTACTATAATACCCAACTAACTTCTCTTTAACATTTATATCTAATTTTTAACACACTAAAAGTACTTGCAAGAGGATCAAAAGTCATATGTAGGAAATATGCTGGAGTTTAATTGAGAGAGGATAATTTAGTAGGTTCCAAGAATACAAAGAATACAAAACTATTTATTTTTTAAATTAATTTTGTTATAATAGATAATACATAAATTGATGGCCAAAAGTATTGCATTACTCGTTACAATTAATCGTTTCTTTAATTTATGTATTTCTTCAAAAGTGGTATTTATTCATTAAAAATAAATAGATGAAATATTACATGCAAGATGTAACAGAAGAAATAATTCACCTCCTAATAACTACGAATAAGGAATCAGCCAACACAACATTGCCAGGCCCCTTGGCCTTAGCCAGTCAACAGTCTCTAAGACAGTTATAGCCCTGGAGCCAGGGCCCAAAAATCGACCTGATCGCAGGCGAAGGTTTGATTGTAAATTACGAAAGTGTATGTTATTCTGAGTAAAAAAAATCTTGTCTGCCGTTCCAGAGCCGCTGCTTTCAAAAATGGCGGCTGATTTAAAGAATATTAGGCCAGTGATTTGAGGATCGAAACGGGAAATCCATTGCGAAAAATGTGAGAGAAGTTTTTATTTTTTTACCTTGCATATATGGGTTTAAACATGTTAAAAAACAAAATTGCTAACGCGGGCCACCAAGAGAAAACTTTTTACAGCCAAAAAAGGCAGATTTTTTCGATATTTTTGGGGTTATTGACCTATAACTCCTAAACAATGCATCAAAGCGAAAAATGTATTCTTTAATAAATTAAAGAGCGTTAAATTTTGCGTCGAATGAGTACATAAACTTTAAAATTTGGTTACGCGGCAAGGTATAAAACCACGGTCAACCAACGCTGAACTTTACCAAATTTGACAAAAACTGAGACAAATTACTATAAATGGCCCTGTAACCTGGAAATGAGTTTCCTAAGAGGAAAAACCCATAGAATCAAAGTTGTAGAGCATCAAATTTTGCGTTCAGTGAGTGCTGACATTTTTATTGTAGGCCAATTATATATCTCGAATTGGGATTCGTTAGTCCTCTATAAAATTCGTTATATTTCGATACATCGTTTACCAAAACCCTTTGCTACTGAGAGGTGGAAAGAGGCTTATATTGCATTTAACAGGTTTCTAAACAAAAATAACTCAGTATAATAGACATCTATACTGTTGAAATATTGAAAATCACGTTTATCTTCATTACCAATTTCTAACCATCGAGAGATTACCGATTTTTTTCGCAGCCAGTGACCTACATTAAATTAGTTGGTACTCAGTATACGCAAAATTTGATGCTCTACAACTTTGATTCTATGGGTTTTTCCTCTTATGGAACTCATTTCCAAGTTACAGGGCCATTTATAGTAATTTGTCTCAGTTTTTGACAAATTTGGTAACGTTGGTTGACCGTGGTTTTATACCTTACCGCGTAACCAAATTTTAAAGTTTAGGTACTCGTTTGACGCAAAATTTAACGTTCTTTAATTTATTAAAGAATACATTTTTCGCTTTGATGCATTGTTTAGGAGTTATAGGTCAAAAACCCCAAAAATATCGAAAAAATCTGACTTTTTGGCTGTAAAAAGTTTTCCCTTGGTAGCCCGCGTTAGCAGTTTTGTTTTTTACATGTCTAAACCCATATATGCAAGTTAAAAAAATAAAAACTTTTCTCACATTTTTCGCAATGAATTTCCTGTTTCGATCCTCAAATCACTGGCCTAATATTCTTTAAATCTGTCGCCATTTTTGAAAGCAGCGGCTCTGGAACGGCAGACAAGGTTTTTTGTACTGAGAATAACATACACTTTCGTAATTTACAATCAAACCTTCGCCTGCGATCAGGTCGATTTTTGGGCCCTGGCTCCAGGGCTATAAGGGTTACAGAGAGGCAGGCAGACAACCATACAAGGAGCAAACTTTACACAATGCACCCCACTTAACAATAGGATGTGATAACTGAATTATATGTTCTAATAAACCAGTTCTCTACTGCAGATGAAGCAAGAAATTCAATCAAAGGAGTCTGAGTTGAGGATATTCCTTGAAAAGTTGTTATAAGGATGTTGAATGAGGTTCATATGAATGCTGGAAGATTGGTAATCGTTCCACTTCTCTCTAGAACATGCAAAGTTCCAAGACCTCAGTTTTCCCATTAGGGATTGATAGGAAAAATAAAGACTGGTCATTTATATTATTCACAGATGAGTCAAAACTCACTTCATGCAATGAAGAGAGTGTGAAGAAGAACATATAAAACATATTCACTGTGCAATGTATCTTTCATAGTGAATATTTTCCATTGAGGCTCAGTGATGGTGTGGGATGGAATTTGTACTGAGGCTTGCATAATTAGAAACAGCAGAAATAGGTACTATAAATGCTGCCAAGTATCTTCAAGAACATGTGATGTTATTTGCATCATTTATCCTGCATGATTTTGTGTAACTACACCATAATGCGAGACCTCATATTACTCAAATAATGGTTGAGTACAGTAAAAAAAGCTGGAATCAAAGTGCTACATATTCTACCAAAAAGTCCAGGCGTGAGAAAATATGTTAGTTTCTCCTGAAGCCTGCCAAAGAACTGAAGATGGGGCTTCACTCCAAGAATATCAATAAAATTTAACTTGTTCAATGCATTGACCGCTGAATGCAGTCATCAGAGCAGGAGGAGACACTTAGTACAGTAAGTGAACTGCATTTATTTAGCTTGTAATTTCTATTTGTATGCAAAAATAAAAAAAATATTTTGAGGACTATATAGCAATTTTTTTTGGAATATTCGATTATTTGCTATTTTACAATCTCTATTTCTTTGTTTCCGTTTTATTATGATCAATCTTTGCTGGTAATAATCCCAATATAAAATAACTTTTTTTTTGTGATTCTATTAAGACTGATAACCATACACCTCTTAATTAGGATTTTAAAAATAATTAAGTGTTGTTTAAGAAACCAACAGCTTTATGGTTCACAATTTAAGGAAATCTATGTATAAATAAAAAGTAGGCAACCAAGTAGTCAAACACTAAATAGTTATTCCTAGTTCCTAACTTTTTGGAAAACAGTTTGTTACAAAATATGGCATTATAATTTAATTTTACTATAGAAAAATTGTATATACAATTATAATTCAATTTAAACAACATAATTTTACAACATGTCATTGTTCATGTGAATTTTATTAAAGTAACTTTGATATATTTCACATTCATTATGGCTTATTACATTTACATGATTCTTTTGAAAGTGCTGAAAAGCAATTCGATCTTTACAAGAAAAAGGACTAAGTAATAAAAAAAAAAGTACGTTCTTAGGATCATCTTATAAAAAGTTACCAGAGAAATGAGTTTCAGGTCGCATTTAATAAAAGAAGATTTTGTAAAGAAATAGGAGTCAGAGGTGGAACATGATTTTGTAGTTACAGATTTGGATTGAATAACGATTTTTCTTTATATATTCCTGGACAAAGAAATATACGACTAAATAATTTTGCCTAGAAAAATTTGGAATTTGCTCTGATGCTACAACAAACTAGAAAAATTATCATAGAGAAGTATATGGCGATTAATTGATGAAGAACCCTATAATTACTGAAGGGCTCAGAAAAAAAACATAAATATATGAATCTTGGTTTACAAGAAGAACAGAAGTACAATGTTAGACGGTCAATAGGTCTTTGGAGGAATATAATGGGGAGGAAATAATGCTTCATATGCATTGTCCCCGAGTTAAATGCAGAAATGTTACTGCACTGAATAAAAGAATCAATCCTACCAGGTATACTAATAATTTCTGATCTGCAGAAACTGAAATAAAAATAAACAGTTTTCTGTTTAACTGACCGGTTATTTCCATCCCTTCTTAATTCCATAACAGATTCAAATGGTCAGAATAGAATTCATAAGAAAAAAAAAAGTGACAACCTGAATGATTCCTTTAGTATAAGCTTCTTCATCGCCTATTCTAGGGATTATCAACCTGTTATTACTTAATAGTTTCCTATATACCTAGAATGTTTCTATAACTCCATAGTAAATTCTATAATTTCACCTTTGTCAATAAAATTAATTTTAATTTTTGGAAAAATTTCTATTGCTTGTAAATGTCTAAAAAAGTATTCAATAAATTAGTATCTTGCCTTTAGGATGATTTACAAAAATATTCATGTATTCGACAATTGCAATGAAGTAACTGACTTATTGCTTTATTATTGTGGGTTAATGGTTGACTGTTGTGAATAATGAAGAAAAGGATGGTTCGGGTGATCAATCAGAAATAAGAAGGCAAAAATAAATAATAATATTTATTTTGACATTTGCCGACGTTTCAACCTGAAGTTCAGGCCTTTATCAGGGCTCTTCCAATAGCTGACTGGAATAGAGTCAGCTAGCTCTATTCCAGTTAGCTATTGGAAGAGCCCTGATGAAGGCTTGAACTTCAGGTCGAAACTTTGGCAAATGTCAAAATAAATATTATTATTTATTTTTGCCTTCTTATTTCTGATTGATCACCCGAACCATCCTTCTCTTCATTATTACTCTATTAGTTGTAGAGACTATAATTTTAGCATGAACAAAAATATTAATTACCTTCAGAATGGAGATTAGTTTTGTCACAAGTTTTGCATAGTAAGCTTCTACTACTAAGGCTAGAGATGATCCATAATGCTCTTATAAGCAAAAATAAATGGTAAAATATTTTTAAAAAAACTAATAAATCCCCCGCACCCACAATATCAATTTCCAGCAAGAGATTAACAGATTGACAGGAAGCACACGGTAGGAGACCATATATAATACATGGATCTATCTCGTAGGAAATTTAAATTTAAAAAGCTTTTATTTAAATAAGGAATGGAGTAGCTGTCCTCTCTTTTTTTTGTTAAATATTTCTCCAGAAATCTTATACAGAAAGTTACTAAAAATACTTAACCACTCTTTTGTAGTTTAAGTTGTGCTGCCAGAGTAGGATCCACTTTACAAGATAATCCAGCAGCTGATGCCATTTCACATACCACCTGAAATTATTTAAATAATTATCAATGATATTCAATTGTTAAAAATAAAAATCTATAGTTTTATATTAAACTTTTATTCATTTATTAAAAAATAATAAAATAAAATGAATGATAAATATAGAGCAAGCATGTACTTTTAATAGAATCATATCATTTATTAATAGAAGGTAATCTATTAAAAGTACTAAGCAACCAGAGTTGTATTGTTAGAAGAAAAGCATAACTTATTAAGCAGAATCCTCACATTTAAAAGAACAGATGTAACTGTCAATGGCTCTTATCCCTTACAAATAAAAACAGACCATTGTTTAGATCCACAGAGTGCCCATTTCATCTTAAAGTTTTGTCCTCATCATTCCATTCAATTTTTGTTTGGTGCACTCAACCATTTAATGTATCATTTAACATCAATATAACTTCCTAGTTGTTGGGTTTAGATAAGGTTGTTAACATGTGCAATGAGAACATTTTATTGAGAAAAGAAAAGATGCATTTACTCTCTTCATCAACACAATCATATTCAACTGATTTAAACATGGGAGTATCCAAAGAGTTTAATTATAGGTTGTCAAGAACTAGGTGTATCGTTAATATTGTGGCCAACAGTAAAAAAAAAAAATAATAAAAAGTATTCTTGTACATATAATATAATACAATAATAATCATGATATATTATCCATATAAAAATACTAACATATATTACGATGAGTTTGTTGTAAAAATACATATTGTCATTGTATAGGTATATTGTTAAGTATTAGTAGGGCACTTTCACCTAATTCCTACTGTAACCTGATGTAGTCGACTTTGTATCTTTAGAGAGTGATCTCCATTTGGGGTCGGATATACTTGTTGGTATGTAATAATTGCTGTACTTACTCTCACTCACATTTGGGACATATGAAGCAGATCAGCGTAAGATTCTTAGGAGGACAATTGGGAGTTGCGACAACTCTACAGAGACGCAGATCTCATTAGCGTCATTAAGACAGGACGAATAAGATGGTTAGAACATGTGGAAAGGATGGCAGTGGAACGAGTACTGAGGAAATGTTATATGGGTGACCTGGAGGAACAAGAAGGAGAGGAAGGCCACCACTCCATTAGCTGGAGGATATTGAGGTGGATTTGAGACAGCTTGGTGTCAGGCGGTGGAGGGCTGTCGCATTGGACCGAGACAAGTGGCAACGTATTGTTGAGAAGGGCAAGGTCCCACGCGGACTATATCGCGGAGGAGTAAGTAAGTAAGAGAAGCAGAGCAGCAGACTGCTAAAAGGGAATTAGGTAGCATAAATCAACCAGTGTAGAGAGCCATCTGTGTACTTTTTAAATTATATTAACATTATTGCGCATTGGCAAATCGCCTGACGTGCCTGATCTAATCATAAAAATTACTGGTTAACAACTAGTACCAACAAAGACTTTAATCATAATGTCTACTGAAAAGCTTTTATATAATTTTTTTAAAGTTATAAAATTAATTTTAATTACAACTAAATAGCTAGAAGAAGATAAACATATAGCATTTCCAAGTCAATTTCAACCTTTTCCAAATCAAATTCAACCTTTTCCAAGTCAAATTAAACCTTTTCCATTTCAAATTCAACTTTTTCCAAGTCAAATTCAACCTTTTCCATTTCAAATTCAACTTTCGAATTTTTGTCAATTTTCGATTTTTTTCTAAATGAAGGCCACTTACTATATTATCGAAGGCATAGTTTTTGAAAGATACAAAAAAAATTTTGATAACGCGGTTGCATATCCATTTATTTTAACATTTTAGAATTTTTCAGTGTGATATTTCTATGTCATATTCAATTATTTCCAAGTCAAATTCAACCTTTTCCAAGTCAAATTCAACCTTTTCCAGATCAAATTAAACTTTTTCCAAGTCAAATTCAACCATTTCCATTTCAAATTAAACCTTTTCCAATTCAAATTCAACCGTTTTCATTTCAAATTAATATTTCAATTTTTTGTAAATTTTATATATTTTTTTAAATAATGGCCATCCCCTCCCCCCTCCAATATGAAAGTCTATTATTATGCTCTCCTAAGTTGAATTTTCACTTACGGATATCGATTTATTGTACCTATTCGGATTTATTAGGGACTAGTATTATGCTGTCCGGTACCTAGTTTTGAAAATAACCTCCATTTTAAGATTACGCGACTGTGTTTTGAATCATTTAAGTTTTTTTTACTTATTCGATATAAGGGTGTATTTTTATGTTTCCCGATCAGTAAATTTTGAAAATGACATCCATTTTATGTTTACGCCACTGTGTTTTGACTTATTTAAGTTTTTAGAATTTATCCAATATAAAGGTCTACTTTTATGTTTCCGGAGCCTTAGATTTTGAAAACGACCTCCATTTTAAGATTAGGCCACTGTATTTCGATTTCTTTAAGGGTTTCGAATTTTTATCATAAAATGATGTAGAGATGGTTGACCGTTGATATGATATGAGAAGGAGTTAGTTGAGGGTGCGGTCAAATAAATAAAAAAATTAAAAAAAATTAAAAAATATAAATAATTTTAATTTTAAATTATTATTTAAATTATTATTATTATTATTATAATATTATTATTATTATTATTATTATTATTATATTATTATAATATTATTATAATATTATTATTATAATAATTATTATTTAAATTTTAAAATTATTTATATTTTTTAATTTTTTTATTTATTTGACCGCACCCTCAACTAACTCCTTCTTTTATCATAAAAGAGTGTATTCTTATGTTTCTGGAGTAGTAGATTTTGAAAATTACCACCATTTTAAGATTACGCCACTGTGTTTCGGCTTATTCAAGTTTTTCGAATTTATCCAATTTAAAGGTCTACTTTTATGTTTCCAGAGCCTTAGATTTTGAAAACGACCTCCATTTTAAGATTAGGCCACCGTATTTCAATTTCTTTAAGGGTTTTGAATTTTTATCATAAAAGAGTGTATTCTTATGTTTCCAGAGTCGTAGATTTTGAAAATGACCACCATTTTAAGATTACGCCACTGTGTTTCGGCTTATTCAAATTTTTCGAATTTATCCAATTTAAAGGTCTACTTTTATGTTTCCAGAGCCTTAGATTTTGAAAACGACCTCCATTTTAAGATTAGGCCACCGCATTTCGACTTATTTGAGTTTTTCGTATTTTTTTCATATGAGGGTGTATTCTTATGTTTTCGAAGCCGTAGATTTTGAAAATGACCTCCATTTTAAGATTACGCCACTCGTATTTCGACTTATTTAAGTTTTTCGAATTTATCCAATATAAGGTCTACTTTTATGTTTCCTGAGCCGTAGATTTTGAAAATGACCTCCATTTCATGATTACGCCATTGCATTTTGACTTATTTAAGTTTTTCGAATTTATCCAATTTAAAGGTCTACTTTTATGTTTTCGGAACCGTAGATTCTGAAAATGACCTCTATTTTATGATTACGCCACTGCGTTTCAACTTATTTAAGTTTTTAGAATTTAACAAGTATAAAGGTCTAATTTTATGTTTCTGGAGCAGTAGATTTCCCCCATTTTGTAAATGACCCAATTTCAAGTTTATGCCACTGTGTTTTGGATTATAAAAGTTTTTTTTTTACTTTTTCGGTATAAGGATCTACTTATATGTTATCCGAGACGTATTGAAATTTTTCTAATCTTTAATATTTTAAATTTATCTAATATTTAAGCTCCATTTTATGATTAAGCCGCTGCATCTCGATTAATTAGGCTTCATTTTGGATTTTTTCAATACAAAGTTTCATCAATATGTTTTCGAGTATGAATAAATACATAAATAAATAAATATTATGAAGCTAAAGTTAAATTAACCACAGAATACAAACTAAAAAGCCGAAAAGCAACTGGTAATAAATTTAACCTTCCGTATTCAGATTTTTCAGCTAATTGTTCGAAATCTTATAATTTTGTGACAGGAGACCACAACATTAAAAAAAATAACTAAAATTAAATTAAAAATGAGACAATACATATTTTATTTATTTTGATTAGATATTTTTATTTATTTATTGAAAAATAAATTAATCCTTCGTATTTTGTTTTTTATTCGAAGGAAAAATCAAAAACACTTTAAAAAAACGAAACACAGTGGCCTAATCTTAAAATGGAGGTCGTTTTCAAAATCTAAGGCTCTGGAAACATAAAAGTAGACCTTTAAATTGGATAAATTCGAAAAACTTGAATAAGCCGAAACACAGTGGCGTAATCTTAAAATGGTGGTCATTTTCAAAATCTACGACTCTGGAAACATAAGAATACACTCTTTATGATAAAAATTCAAAACCTTAAAGAAATTGAAATACGGTGGCCTAATCTTAAAATGGAGGTCGTTTTCAAAATCTAAGGCTCTGGAAACATAAAAGTAGACCTTTAAATTGGATAAATTCGAAAAACTTGAATAAGCCGAAACACAGTGGCGTAATCTTAAAATGGTGGTAATTTTCAAAATCTACTACTCCAGAAACATAAGAATACACTCTTTTATGATAAAAATTCGAAACCCTTAAAGAAATCGAAATACGGTGGCCTAATCTTAAAATGGAGGTCGTTTTCAAAATCTAAGGCTCCGGAAACATAAAAGTAGACCTTTATATTGGATAAATTCTAAAAACTTAAATAAGTCAAAACACAGTGGCGTAAACATAAAATGGATGTCATTTTCAAAATTTACTGATCGGGAAACATAAAAATACACCCTTATATCGAATAAGTAAAAAAAAACTTAAATGATTCAAAACGCAGTCGCGTAATCTTAAAATGGAGGTCGTTTTCAAAATCTACGGCTCCGGAAACATAAAAGTAGACCTTTAAATTGGATAAATTCGAAAAACCTAAATAAGTCAAAATACAATGGCGTAATCATGAAATGGAGGTCATTTTCAAAATCTACAGCTCAAGAAGCATAAAAGTAGACCTTAATATTGGATAAATTCAAAAAACTTAAATAAGTCAAAACGCAGGGGCGTAATCATAAATTGGATGCCATTTTCAAAATCTACAGCTCCGGAAACATAAAAATACACCCTTACATCGAATAAATCAAAAAAACTTAAATAAGTCGAAATGCAGTGGCTTAATCTTAAAATGGAGGTCATTTTCAAAATGTAAAGCTCCGGAAACATAAAAATACACCCTCATATGAAAAATATCCGAAAAACTCAAATAAGTCGAAACGCGGTGGCCTAATCTTAAAATGGAGGTCGTTTTCAAAATCTACGGCTCCGGAAACATAAAAGTAGACCTTTATGTTGGATAAATTCTAAAAACTTAAATAAATCAAAACACAGTGGCGTAAACATAAAATGGATGTCATTTTCAAAATTTACTGATCGGGAAACATAAAAATACACCCTTATATCGAATAAGTCAAAAAAACTTAAATAATTCGAAACGCAGACACGTAATCTTAAAAAGGAGGTTATTTTCAAAAACTATTCATACGATAACATACCCACACATCGAAAAATTAAAGATAATTAAATAAATAAAAAAAGGTTGAATTTGAAATGAAAAAGGTTTAATTTGAAATGGAAAAGGTTGAATTTGACTTGGAAAAGGTTGAAATTGACTTGGAAATGCTATATATGTTTTATTATTTTGTAATTCTGTTAATTTAAATTTAATTTAACTGTATTATTTTTATTATGAGATATTATGGGATTGATTATTATTACTTTATTTTTATTTATTTATTTGTGAAAGCTGGCAGTATTTTTTTTTTAATTATAACACTCTTTATAATTATTTTTCTTAATATATTGTTATAACTGCTATTCAGCATTTATTTCATTTCATTTAAATGACCTTTTAATTTATTTAAAAGAAATTAGATTGTAGAATTTTATCAGCCAATGGAAGGCGAGCGGTTTAAGTAAGTTTATTTTTTTTAAACACAGTTGAGAATTCATTTAGGTTCCTTGTATTTCAATTTAGAATATTTCAGAAGCTTAATGATGTAAATGTTGCAAATCCTCGAGTTCATTTTGTTTTCAGTTGTGCATACATATATAATTGTCTGTGGTCTCAATCAAACTCAACATTACTAATGCCCTCCAACCTATTTTGATATTGAGGATGCAAGCAACGAAGAGATTATTTCAGAATCTTGGAAAGCAATAATGGAAGATTACAGCAACATGACACTTAAAAGAATTTAAGATTTATTTTATGTCAGATATTAGGGTAGATAATTTAAAAACAAATACTTTAACTTCCTTTTCAAAAGTTTCTCTAGATGAAGCAGAATATATATTGAATGCTAATGGGAGCAGTAAATGCAGAACAGATGCTTATAAGAGAAAAATGGAGAATGCTGTATCTTATCTGTTTCAGAGCTACTCTATTTCTTGCTAACCTATTGGGATTGTTTGGAAAATTATAAGTGAAGGATTTGAAATTAATTTTTAATTCCATCGATACTAATTTCATACTTGATAAAAAAAAACTTACAATTCTTTCTATTTATTTTATTTGTGTTAAGTTTATTATTTAGGATTTAAAGTTGTGGAAAACTTGATTAGTTTTCAATAAACTTCAACAAAAATTATTTTTCTTCATCCATCAACTTAATGTAGAACACTTTGTTGCACAAAAATCCACCTGTTGCAGGAAACGTTTATTATTTTCAGATTATAACCGGAAATGGGCCAAATGAATACTTCACATGTGCAGTTAATTGCAATACGACACATGACATTGATGAACAAGAAATGCCACAGAGTGAATCTAGCTAATGAGCAATTGAGATGGATTCCCACCTCTTATTAATGCATTTATTACATTATGCAACTTTTAAGGAGAGGAACTATTGGTTTATCTCTAGCATTCACTACAGTTATTTTGCAATACAATTTGTGGGAATCTAAGGAATGACATAACCACTTAATTTTTTCTCTTAAATTGGTTTCTTTATACTACAGATTTTCAGTAGGAACTAGCCAAATTTGAAGTGCTAATATGAAAATAATTTAGAATTTATTCAAGACAATTATATTTATTTTTAAAAAAACAATACAATATAAAACAGAAGTAATCTTTTTTTTTTTTTTTTTTTTTTGTCATCTCACCAATATTATTCAACTATAAAAAATCACATTTTAGTTGGAATATTCAAAACAGAGAAAATATACATACACTTGTATCACCACCAGGTAAATGCTGACAAAAGTCAAGTATTGAGGTTAGCAAAAATGGTATTCTTTCCTCCAAAACATCAACCAAAGCTTCCTGAGCTAATTGGCGAAAGCAAAGTATCACCCCGATTATTGTCATCCTTTGTAAAACATTATCAACAGCTGAAAAATGGAAAATATGAAAAAGTGTAAGTACTATAATAAATGTTTTGAAAGTGGATAAAATATCATTAAAACAAAAAAAAAACACACTTTTGATAATGAAACTTCATTATTTATAATATTTTATTTTTACAGGTTATATTTTTTAAAAAAATGGTTTTAAATAATATGAAAAAGGATGCAGGAAAATGGAAGGAATTAAATATAATTTAACCCTTTAGGAACGGTGGATTCATATATGAGTCGAGACGGGACCACACCATGGTGACAGTGGACTCATATATGAGTCTGAAGCCCTTTAAGTTTAAACGACGGGGTGCTCAGTGATGAATTTAGCTACAATAAATTCATAGGTACACATATAATGTCAATTGCACAATAAGATTAAATAAACAATTTTTAACCCATATTTTTTAGGAAAGAATGAATTTATAGTATAATGTTTCATGTATATTACTTCCATTCTTAATATAATAACATATTTCAGAATTTTTTGATTTTTAAGAGAGAACATGACAGTATTTTATACATAGAAAGTAACATATGTAATAAGGTTTGATATTATTGATTTAATTGATAGTTCAAACATCAGTCTACAAGAGTGGAACAGCTCAATAGAATGGCAACTATTAACATCAATCAATGTAAGGAGAATGAATGTAAAGGATTTAGGTAGTGTTGTTGGTTGAAAAGGACAGTACAGAAATATTTATGTAAATAAAATAAAATAAATGATTGTAATTGATTTACTATAAATTAAATTCCCTTTAATGACCAAATGAACAAAATGTTGTAAAATGTTCTAAAAATGAGTTCAGTGGAATTGAAAATTCAATTGAATTCAAAAAGCGGTCTAACATACTACTGGTTCCTGGAATTTGTGGTAGAAATATCCATCTATGGGAAAATTAACGATGTTTTAAGGTAAAAAAAAATATTGAACTTACACGTCAATTTCTTGAATTGCTCCTTCATTATGTCAGGTTTGTCAAAATGTGTTCTCAATGCCACCAAAACATCTTTGTTACTAGCAACTATTCTCTGAAATAAAGTAAAGAATAATGACATTGGTAAAAATTATTTTATTATCATTTTCAGTATATAAATCTTGATGAATATCTTCATATTTCATGAATAACAAACTTCAATGATGGAAAGATCAAGAAAAATTAAAATATTTTTAAGCCCCTACTATGACGGATCGAACAAATGTAGATATGTAAGTGAGAAGGTCATTACATCTCTAATATGAATAGGAAATCAGTATTTAATGTCACTTGGAAGTCTAACCATTAGGTTTGTTCTAACATGAGTGTTGACTATTATCAAACTATCAGGTGCATGTGCAGTATAGTTTTTCCATCCAAGGCACATGTGGGATAAAAGTTATGGAATAGAAAAACTACATTGCACATGCATCGGACAGTTTAATGATGTTGAAAAAAAAACTTATGTTGGAAAAGATCTATAATCTATTTATTATAAAACTCAATCACAACAAAAAAAAAACAACAGTAATTTATGTATTCTTTGAAAAGATTTTTATAATTCAATCATTTCTATAAAAATCGAGTGAAAAATAATGTAATACAGTTTCCTCATAATTTTCTAGACATAAGCAGTTGTTTCAATTTTAGTTTTCAAAAATCAATAAGGATGAAAATAGAATTTCATAATTGCCTCCTTATAAATTCAATTTCTTTGAAAAGGGCTAAACAGATTAGGGGAAGGAACCCTGAATAATAAACCAAACATGGGGAGTCACGTAAAACTGATGAACTCAACAGTGCAGAGGGTCGAATCCCTATTGCTGACAATCAAGTGTCGAGAATAGACAAAAACCCAGAACAGTTATTAGCTGGAAACAGTTGTGGAACTCTCAAGTTGAGTTTGCAACCTCACCCTGAGGAGTCTCAAGTAATAACATAAAGCACTCGAGAGGAGACCGATGAGGAGAGAAAGACACTTAATGGCCAGGAAGAAACAGAGGTCTTAGCTACAGCTAAATGTATTCCAAGAAATGAACCAGTTGGTCAATGGCAGATGGTGAAGATTAAGAAGGAAAGGAAATAGAAGGTCAAAGAGCAGAAAATACCAACATGACCTGCTTGTCCAGATGCTTTGATGGTCATGGCAAAGGAGGGCTTGATCTATGCAGATATCCTGTGAACAATAAAAGGCAATCCAGATCACCAAGATATAGAAGATAAAGTACAAAAAACATGAAAATGTATCATGAGGAATCTTCTGGTATTAGATAGAAAAGCAAAAAATATGGAACAAAGTTGTACTATAATAGCAAAGAAAATGGCTGACAAAGTGGAGGTAACATGCAAGAGAGACACTGTTGTTTTGGACTGAAGGATCTGGGCGAGGTAATAATCTATCTCCCCATATTTCCAGGATATATATGTTGATATATCGGGAATGAGACAGTGGATCCATCTTCCAGAAGATAAGGCATTCCAGCTTTTCAGCCACCTTTGATGAACTGACAGTGGCTGAAGAAGTACACAAAGCACTTAAAAAACAAATTTAAGGTATGGGAAACATTGATATTTCCATTGTAAGTCACTTTTCAAGGCTTACAGTGGCACACAGACAGCAGTAGTTGTATTGCCTACGGAACCAGCAAGAAAAACTATGGGGAAGGAGAGCATCCGAGTTGGTTATATAAGCAGCTGAGTGAAAAAAATTTCGCAGGGGAGCCGATACAACAAAACTATTTGCAATGTTGTAAAGTGGGTCATCCAGCAAAAGAGTGTACAGCTGAATCGCACTGCCTTTTATGTCCTGATGGAAAAACTGCAGGCACCTGACGGTTAGGTTTAGTTGTCGAATCTACCAGTGGGACGTTGAAGCAGTTACTAAGCACCAGAAATGAGGTTTTTACAGCAAAATCTTAACCACAGTAAAGCTGCCCTGGACCTCTGCTGGCAAACTATCAGTGAGAAGGACATCGACATTGCTGTACTATACGAGCAGCACAGAGATGTCGATGAGCCCTGGATGAAGAAGGACCATAGTGGTAAAGCAGCTATTTGGGTCAGAAAGGATTACTTCATACCAGAAATCTAACCAATTCGAATAAAAGGATTTGTATGGATTAAGGTGGCGAACAGAATACCCGAGCACGTTGGGGCTTGGGTCCCAAAGTTGCTGGTTTTGAACATTGTGGGTTCAATTCTCACCTGTGTTAGTTAATTTTCATTTCTTGGTGGCCGCCAGAAATGAATCTTGACATTCTCAATCTGGTAAGTATGTAGCGCAACCTCAAGGTAGCCATTAGGGGTTGGCAAAAAGGACTATGTAACCAGTACCAGTATGGGAGTATGGGAATGTGAGTGACATTTACACCTGTAGTGTCTACGCATCACCTTGTGCACTACAAGAAGAAATAGAGACTCTACTTGATGGCTTTAAGCAGAAACTGGGAGGTCGGCATCTCCTTATTATTGCAAGGAGACTTAAACGCATGAGTTACTGTGAAAGGTGAATGTCTTCTTGACAGGTTTGCTGCTCTTGATGTTGTTCTCCTTAACACTAATCCTTGTCCTGGCACTAATCCGACTTCTCAAGAAATGGCAAATCCTCAATAGTCGAAATGACTTATTGGGATAATTATTGCCACACCAGTGATCGATATAATCATATTAATGATCAGGTCATCTGGTTTAAAGTCATTGCTCCAGGTGCCACAAGGAAAAAGATTAAAGCACAGCCAGTAGTAGGTTGGAACCATTGATCCTTCGACAGAAATTTCTTTGTTACAATGATGAAGGAAATAATCGAATTACTAGGATTGGTAGAGGAAAGGGTAACAAAACTGATGAATTTTATTACTGATGCATGCGATGCATCAATGACCAGGACTTCTTAGAGAAATCAAAACATGGCAGTGTATTGGTGTACTAAGGAAATCGCTGTTCTCCAATGAGTCTTTCTTTGTACCAGAAGACTAGGCCAGTGAGTGAGGGGTTGCTTACTATACGAGGCATGAAAGAAAGAGCATAAACAAGCTAAGAGAAACCTAGTCAAGGCAATAAAAGAAAGTAAATGTAACTGCTGGAAGAAGCTGTGTGAGGAGATAGACGAAGACATATAAGGAAGGCCCTACAAAACAGTCACAGCCAAACTAAAAAGTTCAAACTTGTCTCCCCTGAACTATCCTGAATTGTTAGAAAAAATAGTGGCAGAGCTATTTCCAAGATCCTCAGAAGTGCGTGTTGATAAGATAATAATGCTGGATCTGGAACCAGTGTCAGAAAGCACAGAAGAAGAATTGGACATAGCATGCAGGAAAATAGGACTCCAAAACCCTGGGCTAGGATAATGTCCCAAATCTTTCCTTGAAAATGGCTATTAGGTTAGTGCCACAACTTTTTTTGAATGTGTACAACTCCTGTCCCATAGAAGGTGTGTTTCCAACAAAGTGGAAGAAACAACTTGAGGAAAAAGAAAGGGGACCCTCGAAAATCCCGCATCTTATCGCCCAATATGTTTCCTGGATACTGCAAGCTAGGCAATGGAGGGTGTTTAGGGTTGATCACCCTAAATTGAGGTTATCCCCCCCTTCATGGGGTACATGAAGCCAGGTAGGTAACACTGTACGACGGTGGCGCAGTCTGCACAAAATTTAGTAGCAGTGGAGAAAAAAAATGGGCGACTGAAGCCACACGGAGAAGTAGACGAACACTCCATCCTCTTCAAGACCACCTTTCTTGCTGTTCTACCATGGGAAGAGGAATGGAGTAGAACACCGAGACCTACCGGACACATGGAGGTGAGGAATTACTACAGCCGGCCGACCACCGATAGCGACCACCGTATCTCAGACATCAAGTAAACGATTGTAACCATTATACGCCAAACCCCCATCTTTATATACTGTTTAAATATAATCATAATTAATTTCATACAGTCCACTTGTTCTTTCAAATACCCAATAAACATCTGTACCATATCATAATAAAAATGAAGGTACATCCCATTTCATGGTCCCGACCGGGCCGGATACCAAGTTCATAGTCCACTGGACCGAGTTATTCATTATTAGTTATTTAGTCCTAATTTACATTTTATTGTAAAAAACATATAACCTGAGCCATCAATAAGCCTTTAGCAGACAATTAACTTGTAATTTTCATTCAGTTTAAATATCAAAGATTTTCTAATTGTATTTTCAATATTTCATTTTTAATTGTCTAAGTAGAATCAGTAATTTCTAATGTACATTAGTTTATTGTACAAATCTGCATTAGATCATAATTTCTTAATGTTCATAGTTGTATCGGACAAATATCTTGCATAGCATGATATTTAGTTAAATGGCTCTAACACTATTCACTGATTATATTATTACTACTAATCATTCCACATAACCTTCATTTGATATTGAAGTAATTTTTGTTATTTTCTTCCAATTACTACAAATTTTACTAATACTGTCATTTGCTAACTATTTTAATTGTTTGTTAATTTATTTCATAAAGTGTTTTTTTTGAATTTCAAATAGGCTTTTAATTACTATAAAAGGTTATTGTAAGGTGAGCTTCAACTTTTATGTCTCAAAGGCTATAAGTATTAAATGATATAATATTTGATTCTTGATTTGATTAATTTAAATTGTTTAACTTTACCATTGAGTTAAATGATAAATATTTTCATACTATCAAGGCTGTTCATTAGAATGGATAATAGTCATTCTACATAACCTTTATCTGATACTGAGGTAACTTTAGTTTTCTTTCTTTAAATTTTAGCTGTTCAATTTAAATCTTTCACAGCATTTGCTCATTAAATATTCTTTCTGTGATGGGGTGTAATAAAATCAACTAGAAAACTTACTTATTTCTTTATTGAGTGAATATGTATAATCAAACAGGGCAAATATTTACATTCATTATTTCACAATGTCATCTCAATTCACTTAAATCACAATGTATGCTCAAACTATTTCATTTCACTAACAATCTATCACAAGTTATCACTGGTTTCTTCAAAATTATGTTGAACAATTGTTTTCATTCTAGCCTCTTGAC